AGCGGTCCCAGATCAGATGTACACACTGGAACTTTTTCCCATGTTGCTGTCTGTGTTTATTGTGTTATGGTGTGTTGATATCTGTGCATTCCTGTATTATCCTTTTGTGTTACACATTTCGATGTTTTTTTTTTCCTCGCTACCTAGCCTGACCTGTCTCCCCAATGTGATGTTTGTGTATTGTATGTACGGTCGGCAAGGTCTGTCATCTCAGTTGTGGGCAAAAGACCTGCAACTGACAAATAAAGGCTATCTCATCATCATCTCATCTCATAAAAATTAACTGCTATTTTTCATTGAATGGTAAAATGTCTCATGTTAAACATGATCTTTTGTCAATAAAATATGTCTTTGAAATTTCCAAATAACTGGAATTGTTCATAGTGGAAATTATGTGGGTGTTTCTTCATTACTGTGAGCTTCCTTAACATACACTAAAAACAGCTGGTAGTAGCTATGGTTATTGTTAATATATTCTCCAGGATTTCAGTGTAAGCTCCTCTAAAGGTCATCAATCTACTCTTCTGTACAGGTGCTGTTTGCATGTGCTGAAGCCCTCCATGCACATGGGTACAGTAACGAGGCATGCAGGCTGGCTGTGGAGCTGGCTAGAGACCTTTTGGCCAACCCTCCAGATTTGAAAGTGGAGCAGCCACAGACTAAGGTAGACACAGTCCCAGTGCCCATTACCCTGAAACACATTCTCCTATGTTAGATAGCTCATCTCATCCTCTGATACACTGTCTGCCTTCCAATCTCATCAATCATCATCCTAAAATTACTGTCATTACCTGTTTGTTGGATTTAGGGAAAGAAGAGCAAGGTGTCAACCACCCGCCAGACACAGGTAGCCACTAAGACACTGTCAAAAGCTGCCTTCCTCCTGACAGTTCTCAGTGAGCGACTGGAACTCCATAATCTGGCCTTCAACACTGGCATGTTCTCACTGGAACTCCAGAGACCACCAGCATCTACCAAAGCTCTAGAGGTGTTATTCTCTCTCTCTCTCTCTCTCTTACTTACTCACAACACACACAAGTTGCTCCCAATGTGTTCATCAAAGTGTGAATATGTGTCAGTGTTGGATGGAAAGCACATTTTCGTTGAACAAAAATTTAAAATTAAAACTTAATGAAAGTGCTCCAGTAGAGTACAACAGTCCTATATGCAGCAGTTCATTTACCTTAGCCTTATTCTTTTATTTATCTTGCACTTAACCTACAAAACATCTTAAAAGTTGAATGAATTGGCAGGTTGTAGAATTTGGTTTACAAGTGTTCAATGCAAAATATTGCAGTTTTCCCAAATTTGGGATTATTTTTTTTTACATCAGGATGCAATAATACTGATAGTCATAATAAAATGATATCTGGTTGATAACTGCCAGAGATTGTAACATATAGGGTAATATATGGTCTGACAGACCTGCTCTGTCTGGCCACCTTGTTCGTGGAGTTGAATCAGTCTGTTAGAGAGGGTGCTCCTCTGGCAGCAGAGGGTAGTCAGGATTATAGGTGGCAAATGACAGTGTTCAGTGACATCCTTTCTACCACAGCTTCAAACGTGCAGTCTGCAGCTACTTGACATTGCCAACCTTCTTGACATTATTCAGTCAGTTGGTGTCACCAGCTCCAGTGCCACGCCTCCAGCAGACCACAGCAAAATGTACTGCGCTCGCCACAACTTCAAAAATATTATTTTATTTGTCAATAATTATAATATAAGACATTGTACTGTTAATGTGATTTTAGTCATATACAGTATGCTTAACTGTGGGTAAAGAGAGAGAAATCATGGTTATGTAAAGTACTGAATCAAAGTGCCCAAAAGTTGATTGTGTTCATCTGGACGTAGCTTTTCAGTGGGAGAAACGTTTCGTCACTCATCCAAGTGACTTCTTCAGTCTCAGCTGACTGCAGGTTTCCAGCCTTATAAACAGCACATTTGCATAATAATTGAAACTAGCACCACTAGAATTCCCATCTCGCCCCTGTGGGCGGTTTATCCTTCAAGCTCGGGTCCTCTACCAGAGGCCTGGGAGCTTGAGGGTCCTGCGCAGTATCTTAGCTGTTCCCAGGACTGCGCTCTTCTGGACAGAGATCTCCGATGTTGTTCCCGGGATCTGCTGGAGCCACTCGCCTAGCTTGGGAGTCACCGCACCTAGTGCTCCAATTACCACGGGGACCACCGTTACCTTCACCCTCCACATCCTCTCCAGCTCTTCTCTGAGCCCTTGGTATTTCTCCAGCTTCTCGTGTTCCTTCTTCCTGATATTGCTGTCATTCGGAACCGCTACATCGATCACTACGGCCGTCTTCTTCTGTTTGTCCGGTTGGTTAGCCACCACCATTTTGTCCGTCTGTATCTGGAAGTCCCACAGGATCTTAGCTCGGTCATTCTCCACCACCCTTGGGGGCATCTCCCATTTTGACCTCGGGACTTCCAGGTTATACTCAGCACAGATGTTCCTGTACACTATGCTACACCACTTGGTTATGGCGTTCCATGTATGCCCTGCCTGCTAGCATCTTGCACCCTGCTGTTATGTGCTTGATTGTGTCAGGGGCATCTTTACACAGCCTGCACCTGGGGTCTTGCCTGGTGTGATAGACCCCAGCCTCTATGGATCTTGTACTCAGAGCTTGTTTTGGGGAAAAATTCTCATCAACATTAGGACCAAATTAACTTACAAAGTTTAGCTTTTAAAACAAAAGGGATATATATTTATGTAAATGTATCATATGCATATTGTATGTGCCTGGACTAATCAGGTGAAGCTGGCCTACCAGGAGTCAGAGGTGGTTGCTCTGTTGAAGAAGATCCCTCTGGGTCTGATAGAGATGTCCGCCATCAGAGAGCGAGCAGAGCAGCTCCGGGATGGAAACTTTTGTGATTACAGACCTGTGCTACCTCTCATGTTGGCCAGCTTCATCTTCGATGTACTGTGTACCCCAGGTATGCACCGGTAATCTTTATTTTAATGGTGGTTTTCATGTGTTTCACTTGAAATAGTCAAAGCAATTCTAGTTTTCTTGTCATATGTGTTTAGGATGTAAACACAACCATGCCATTGTCTCATGGCTGCTTGCCCAAAGAAGATCAGATATTTTCTTAAAAGTCTCAATCAAATCCTTATACTAAGGTTTTAGTTTTATTATATGTATTCAGCTTTTTTTGCTTTTATTTGACAGTTGCGATGGACACAGAAATGATGGGAAATTGTTAATCGCTTAAACAGGATTTTTAACTTGATTCAAATACAATAAAATAAAAATAAATAATACAAGACTAAAGAATTCTAAGTATTCTGTTAAATTGCCTTTAACTATGTAATATGAAAGTGAATATCTCTTGGCCACCAGCTTTATTTGTAGTGTACTGAACGTTGAAGCTTTGTGTTGAATGAATGAAGAAGCTCATATTGTCTTTTTTGGAACAGACTGAGGAATTTTAAGGGAGATTGACTGAATTTATGTCCCTTTCACTTTTCCTCCATACTGTTTTGTGCAGTTGTGTCTCCAACGGGTTCCCGTCCACCAAGCCGCAACCGCAACAATGAGATGCCTGGAGATGAGGAGCTGGGTTTTGAGGCTGCTGTTGCTGCACTTGGTAAATTTATTCACTTGGTTTCGTTCCTCTTAGTGTTTATCAGTATCTTCTTCTCCATCCTCACTACTTGTTTTCCTGCTCACTGTTTCTCACAAATGTTCAATTGTAACCTTTGTTTTGTGTCCACCCTCTGTGACTGCAGGTATGAAAACCACAGTCAGCGAGGCAGAGCATCCTCTGCTATGTGAAGGAACTAGACGAGTGAAGGGTGACCTGGCCCTGGCTCTCATGATCACCTATAAGGACGACCAGAGCAAGCTCAAGAAGGTAACAGCTACATTATAGTATTTCAGAACATGTACAGAAGATGTCCCGTCCAACCGCATATCAATTCTACACCTGTTACAGTCACAGAATTTGACTGTAACAGGCCAGTTTATTCATTTAATACATTTTTTTAAAACAAAGAAAGAAAATAGTGCAAAGTAATTCATTGACCAGTAACTGGATGTAACTGGAAAAGACTATACTAATTAAAAGGTGAGTGGTTCGATCCCCAGCTCCTTCTGTCTGAACGTCCAAGTTTCCTTAGGCAAAATACTAATTGCTCAAATTGTGTAAAAAAGTGAGTGAGTGCTTTTAAGCACGTAATACAGGCCTTTCACACAGGAGGTGCTCTCTGAAACACATTCATGTCTATTTCTTGCACAGTGAAGGAAAGCTTCACTTTGCTTGTCTGAGTCCGGTAAACACTGACACAGGTTAACATGCATCTGGTTGGTTAACATCTGTCCTCTCTGTCCAAAATGTGAACATTGGCATCCTCGAGCCTGGTTCTGCCGGAGGTTTCTTCCTGTTAAAAGGGAGTTTTTCCTTCCCACTGTTGCCAAAGTGCTTGCTCATAGGGGGTCATATGATTGTTGGGTTTTTTTCTCTGTATCTATGAAGCGCCTTGAGGCGACTTATGTTGTGATTTGGCGCTATATAAATAAAATTGAATTGAATTGAATTGAATCGAAAGAGTGACCTTTATCCTTAAGATGCAGATGGACTGCTGAGTCTTGTCCTGTGGAGGTGGCTCTTCTGTGTTGTGCCATGCGCTTGTGAAGTGGCTGTTTGCTCTCTCCGATGTAGAGGTCTGGGCATTCCTCGCTGCACTGTACAGCATACACCACATTCTTAACAATGTGGTGTATGCTGTACAGTACAGAGAGGACAGACTGTTTGAAAGAGGAGTGAAAGAAGCATCTATGTCCACTGTGAGCGACCATCTTTGAACAGAGGCGGGGGTTTACGACACCAACTCTCTGCCATCTTTAAAGAAGTCCAGACGCTTTTCTTTGCAAGCTCCTTTGACCCATGGAGGAGAGCTATAGATGATCAGACAGTTGTGTTCTTACGTTGAGTGTGACGTTTGATTACTTTGCTAACAAGTTTAACAGGATATTTCCATTCTCAGGTGTCTGATACCCTTCGACACTCATCAAAATAATTTTCATCTCTTCTTTCTTTCTCTGATAATGATATTAGGCAATTAATTAGTACAAAGAATGTTAGATGTACATCTTTTTTGGGTACAATAACATTGGCTCAGGAGCTAGACCAGGTCACTGATCTAAATGGTGGTGGTTCAATCCCTGGCTCCCCTTAGTCTGCATGCCAAATATCCGGAGCAAGATATTAACCCCAAGTTGCTAATGGTAGTACTTAAATGGCAGACAGTGCTTGTGTGAATGGGTGAATCTGGCATGTTGTATAGAGCGCTTGTAGTACTCCAGAAAAGTAGAAAAGTGCTAAATAAGAATCAGTCCAGGCCATTACAAGGTTCTACTTGTATAAGGTAGGTAAGGATTTTCCTTGGAGTAAATTGTGACTATCACCAGATAATGTTCACACAACTAGATAGAAGTATGTAAAGATGTGCTTTAACCAAGCACATTGATTGAACGCACCCATCTAAGATTTTTCTGATTTCCACACTTTGGTATTTCATGTTGCTCATGTGGATTTCTGTTGTAGGGTGTATGCAAAGTGTAAGTGTTTTCTTACTCTCTGTATCAATGTGTTCTCTCTTTCCTGTCCACCCTCCATGCTCAGATATTGGATAAGCTATTGGACAGAGAGAGTCAGACCCACAAGCCCCAAACTCTAAGCTCCTTCTACTCAAGCAAGCCAGCAGCTGGCAGTCAGCGTAGTCCATCCAAACATATATCCTCCAGCCACAGTGGGGTGGGTGGGGCCACAGGAGTGGTCTCCAAACATGCTACGTCATCTTCCTCAGCATCTACTTTGGTGGCTTCATCCTCAAGCTCTTCCTCTGCTCTGACAATTGGCGGAGAGGGGGTGGCTCCTCAGGCTGATCTGAACCCAGTGCCAAATAACACAGCAGGGGAGAGTGCCGCTGAGACCAGGGAGCATGGTAAGAACCCCATTACCACGTCTCTTGGTTTCCACCTGTGTGTTCTTGTCATTCTCCAGGCACAAACATCCACTTGTTTTAGGTTTTTCCACATGTTCACTATAACTATATTAAAAAAAAAAGTATAAAAGCTGTAAACAAGTGCTGCATGCATGCATTTCTCACACACACACACACACACACACACACACACACACACACACA